GGGCAGCGAAGGCAAAACCAGACAACACACAACGTGGCTTTACGGAGCCAAAACGGCAAATACGTCTTACCTTTGCTGTTTTTTGATCAAAAGTTGTGTTCAATGGCATTAAAATGATTAAAACGCTGCTGAAGGTTAATCCAATGTGTCTGTGTCACTTCGAAATGATTACTGATAATCCATCATAACATTTTTGTCAAAAACGGAGATTTCATATTGGCTGGTATTAGAGCTACAACCCAGCTTCCGGTTTTGGGCATTCTGGCTGCGCATCACTCTCACTCCTCAATGGTAATGTTTAGATGGATTTTATGAACTTCCTCTCGATTCTATTGGCTCTAACGGTTCAAGAGGTGTCAATCATCAAAATCGAACAAGGGGGGCCAGAGATATGGAAAATGCACCCAAATGACCCCAGAAATGTTTTTTGTCAAATGTCACTTGCTTTGCATCAATCTTGGTACAGGGTACTTATTATATGTTGTACTTTGGATTCCTAAAGCTTTTAGTCTACCATCCCATCATTCAAGGGTGGTTTTCACTATAAGTAATGGGGGGTTTTTTGGACGGAAACTATGATTTACATTATTTTACTATGTTCAATCTGAATTTACTCTTAAAATATAAAGTTCTATATTGATTCTGACTCTTCTACATCCAACTCACAGGTTTATCATTGCTTTGAGAAAAAAGATGATTAATTTGCCCCTTTTTTAAGAAGTGAAGATATAGTCAGTCATTTTGGAGCCTGAGGCCTGAAAAACAGGCTCGGGGGTTAACAAACAGATTGAATTGGCAAACCTTCAAAACGTAGCCCCATATTATTCAGTAATGGAGTATGAACAACCCTAGACTTGTGTAGTGCGCCATGTGTTGAAGCCCAATTCCCTAGAGGCCAATGCTCATGTGAGGCCATTGGACCCAATTCATTGAATTGAATCATAATTCAACATGCCAGCACTTGAATAGACCTCACTGAAATAAATAAGTCCTAAGAGTTGTAAAAGGTGCAAAATAGCCGAATCCAATCTTCTCTCCATTATACTCCATTTTATGAATGTCAATAATCCAGGATAAGATGCCCATCAACAGTGAAAGTTCATAACAAAAATCTTCAATACATTTTCAAAGTCAATTTCTTAAACCAGAATAAGCAGTAAATATTACCAACTTATTAAATGAAATACTGTTTGAGGATCAAGAATAGATGTGTGTTTTTGTGACATATGGTAACAAGAAAATCCTTCAATTGCATAAAGTACTAACTGCCTTTGTTCATCTGTTTATCATTCAAATAATTAGTTGACGATGCTAACATTGACGACCTGTGTAGTGATTTATTTTGTCTCTTTGTATTTCTAAAGACCCTGTCCTCAGACCCAGAGGCGATCCTGTGTAACAACACCAAGATGCTGCGAGAGCGCCTGAGCATCGCTGGAGATAAAGTGGGGGGGGAGCACCGCGAGCAGGAGGACGACTACGTGTACGACCTGTACTACCAGGAAACGGTGACGGCAGGGTGGATCCAGGACATCCTGTCCGTCAGGGCCTACGCCGACGAGGGAGAACTGGTGTGTGTGGATGGATGGACGGACAGATGAATGAGTGCTGAACTCGCAGTGAGTGAATGAAGACATGGGTGAAGTAGAGAGTAGACATGGTGAGGCTTCACACCTGCTATCAAACTGTTATGTGGAGAAACAGGAAGGTCAGCTGACCGTCTCTGCCTACCCTGCAGTCAGCTTACATGCAACTCGCTCTATCAAAATCAGTCACATTCTTCCTAAAATCATACATTGTAGGTAATGAGCTGACGCCTCTCTCCAAAGTGACTTGCATACACTTTAAAGGTCCCATGTCATGCTTTTCTGGTTATTGGCTATGCCCTTCTGTGTTATGAAGGTTTTTATGCATGTAAACGGTCTGCAGAGTCACAAACCCTCAAAGTACACCCTGTAGCGAGTAAAACTCTAACACAGAAAAGACCGCCCCAAAACGCCTCGTTGGAGATTTCTAATGTTCTTCCTGGATATTGTGACGTCTGAACACCCAGTAGCCACGCCCAGAGCTATGACCAGGCTGATTGGTCCAAATTGACCAATCCACAGACTTCCTCTACACACACACTCAGTGCAGGCAGCTCTGCTGATTTCTCCTCCCTGTGCAGGCTGATAACAGACAGTTGGGAACGCGGCGAAATTCTCTCTGCAGACCCGCAGACCCATTCTCACAGCGTTTATCAACCTTTTTCTTACTCAATATCAAGCCACACTTATTGTTTTTACTTCGGCTGTGACTTTGTGTGTGCTCAGGGTGAGTTTGGCTGTGTTTCGCTAAACAAGGAAACGACACCTCCACGGAGCTTAGTGCGATTCACAACATCCCGACCAATCAGAGCACACTGTGCTCACAGGGAGGGTTGGGGTTGGAGCTACAACGGCAGAGAGTGAAATTCAGTGAATACACGTAGTTTACAGAGATGCTGTATGAGAAACCAATGTGAGTTTGGAAAATTGCACAATATAAATCTATTCTAGTAGACCTCAACAATGGAATTATGATCAGTGGAAATGGCCATGACATGGGACCTTTAAAGCTGTACAGCCCGTAAGAGCCATTTGGGGTTACGTATCTTGCCCTAGGACACTTCATGGTGGCGGCTAGAGATGGGGTTGAACCTGTGATCTGACCGGAAAAGATGATTTACTTAAGAAAAAATATATACATTTAGTTTTTGTTTTCCAAAATCTAAGCAAAGTATGTTGCATAATCTGATGTCTATCACAAAACAAACCATTATGAGGAAAAAGGCCTTGAAATTATTAACCAGAGCTTTTGAAAGAGTGGGCTCCAGGCTTAGTACTTCCCTCTAATAGGACCACAGTTTGTTTAGTTATGATTCTGAATTCTTTGTTGGTCTATAACAAACTGTTTAGCAGGCTGTCCCTTTCCATTATGTTGAAAAGTCTTATTGTTCACATCCATTATATTGATTAGGCTGACACGTTTTTCATCTAGAAGCATTGTTGACCAGGGTGTTAGTTTTTTACTGAAATGATTGAAGGATGCTAGGAAGAAAGTTGGTGGGCTGCAAACATATTTTCATTGTCTGATAATGTCGATAACAGTTAAATATTCTCGTTTAAAATCAACCAACAAAAATCTATTTCTCGGGATGAGCCGTTGTATCAGAGTGCTTTTGATAGGGTGGGTCACATGTTTGCTGAAGCGAAATGCTACTTTAGGCCAGTCTGTACCTTTTTGAAAAGCTGTTGGTCCACATGTTGCTGTTCTCATAAGGGACCAGCATATGGCAGAAACTGCATGCACCTCAATATTCATAAAGCCTTGCTCAACTGTAGGTGACAAGACCTGCATTCTCATTTGGCCCAAAACATTAACAGGATCGTTTTTATAAAAGTTTCTTATACATTTCTTAGAATATTAATTACAAAGAGACTGTCCAAAGTTGTTAATTTAGTTGAATGGCTAATTCAATTAATTTGTTTATCTTTTAATGTTATTATTACACATTTTGGACAATATAACCGAAAGTGAGAGCATTGTCTTGCTTAATTAGTTTAAAATATTTGTTAAGTCCATATTATTACACACAATTTGGTAAGGAGAAAGAAGCCAATAGTGAATAGACTTTGTATAAACTGCTTGTTGTTATCGCAGGTTCCTGACCAAGTAGTGCATGAAGAGGAGGTGTATGAAGATGAGGATGATGAGAACGAGGAAGGCAACTGGAGGAACGACTACCCCGATGAGGGCAGTGATGCAGACAGCGACCGGGAGGAGCGCTATGGTGGTACGGAGTTCTGCAGTCATTAATGTGTCCGTTATCACGGGCTCTTTCTTAACACTTCATTACCAAAGCCCTCATTTCCTTTTTCAAAATGGTTGTCTGATCTGGTATCAAAGTAAATCAACATCACAGTGAGAGGATATCACAATACAGTCATTATTCTGTAACTTTAGTGAATTAGTATATCTTTCTTTATGTAGAATTCCCAGAAATAACAAACAACTGCCCCACACCAGGCGTTTAGGAGTTGTTTTCTCGTCTTTCTTTTTTTTTAAAGATAATGTCAATGAGGCCCTGTTGAATGTTTAATTGTTCCTGTTGAAAAATAAAAAAGGTTGTTTGGTTACACTCTGATATTTTAGTTTGAAAACCCCCTCCCTTCTTAACTCACCTGTGCAGTTACTTATCAAAGATATGTGCCAACCTTTGTTGGTTTAGCTTGTCCTTTGAAACCCAAGTGTTGTGGCTTGTTACATCAGATCCTTGTCTAATGTGTGCAGGTTACGCGGAGGATGAGCACTCGTACAGCCGGAGGAGCTGGGGGCTCTACCAGAGGGAGGTGGCGCAGGAGCTGCGGGGTGAAGATGACAACGAGGATGATGATGGAGACAAATATAATTCCGATTGATCTAAACCGCACCTGTCTGTGGATCTTCCCAACGCCCTCTCCACAAATATCACCAAACTCCAGACCTCTGTGTAGTTGAGAGTGGGGGGGGGAACACACTTTAAAGAAACCAGGACATGGGTGTTAACGTGTAGCAATACTTGTGTAGCACCAACCAGGTTTCAATTGGCTGGAAACCTCCTCATAACTTAACAAAGTACATTTCACATGCAAATGCCAAAAAGCTCCCACAATGGAGTCATTCAGATCCACCCCCCCCCCACCTCTCCTACACAGAGGGTGGAGCAGTGTGCGTTATTTCCTGGAGGATCCAGAGTGTCTTTTTCTCTTTTCTTTTTTAACTGGTGGAGTGAACTTGTGTGTGGGTGTTTGTCCAATGTGGATGTGTGTTAAACTGTTGCACATTAGTGTGATATGCCTTGTATGCTTTGTGCTGTTAACACTGTGTAAGTGAGACGTGTCGGGCCGCGCGTGGTTCAGTTTAGGGTGCAGCGTTATGTGCATGGTAGTGTGTGTAGGTATAACTGTGTGTTAGAATTTTCTGCATAATGTGAAAGCGTGACGCATATGTTTTGTTGTGGGTGTGTGAGATGGTTCAGAAATTCCCCCTTGAAGCTCAGATTGCTTGGATGCTTGTTGAATTAATTTTTTTGTAAATATGTAGATGTGTATAAAAACAAAGCTTTGAAATAAACTTTAAACATCTCAGTGTCAATTTTTCCTACATGAAAAAACACAATTCAAACCTTTTTAAAAGATCAAAATCCAAAGAAAGTATGCAATGCGATAATCTGCTACATTTTGTTTCAATAAAAGGACATTTTCCCAGCATGCTCAGCCTGGAGCTGCTGATCTGACGAGCTGTTTGGTCTCACACTTTCCTGATGCAGAGATGCTGTTTTCTTGTTCAGGGTTCCCGCGGGGTCTTAAAAAGTCTTAAATCTGAATTTAAGGCCTTAAAAAGGTCATAAATATGACCCAAAAAAATAAGGAAGGTCTTAAAAATGATAGGATTTGAAAGGTACTACTTTGTTGCGATCGCGTCTAAATGTGTTTTGGGGAAAATGTCCGGGCTGCAAAGTAACCAGGACGGTAATAGCCTTTCAGTTCCCCCCAACAATTTGTATTGAATTAAATCAACATGGAACCAGTAATCATTAGGGCCCGAGCACGGAGTGCTAGGACCCCAACGGTGTCCTAGCACGAAGTGCGAGGAACCTATTGTTATTGGTGGAATTCTTCTTCTTATTATAGTGCTGGCGTTTCCTGTTTTTGAGGGCTTTAGAACGCTCACAAAGTTGTATAATTTTGCACGGACGCCAGGACCCGTGAAAAATTCAACATTCTGGAGTCAATGGGTTCAAATTGTCCAAGGTGCTCGCTAGCGCCACCTATGAAAAACCCATTTCGGAATAAATGTACAAAGTCGCACCGTAACTCCGA